AAACCAGCCAAAAGTTGATCTGGTAGCATGATTCAAGCGGTAGAGTGCCAGCTGGGAAGGCAAGATGGGCAAGTATGAGGCCCGGTATTCAAGTCCTGATACAAAAAAAACTTTTTAAGGGGGTATGTACTGATGTTGGTTGTGGTGTGGGGATTAAGAAGTCACTTGGAAACCAGGTGCTAGTGGCTCACATCTGTAATTCAAGCCACTCATGAGGTTGAGATCTGAGGACTGCAGTTTGAAGCCAGCTTGGGCAGGGGAGTTAATAAGATTCTTATCTCCAATTAGCCACCCCAAAGCAGGAAATAGAGCTGTGGTTCAAGTGGCTGAGTACCAGCCTCAAGCTAAAAAGCTAAGGGACAGTGCCTAGGCCTTGAGTTCAAGCTCCAGTGTCAGCACACACACACACACACACACACACACACACGCACATGCACACATTACTTAGGATATTGTCGGCAGGGGAGGCTCAGGACTCAGGTGAGAATGGGACTGTAGGCTGAGGAGAAGTGGATGGAGAGTCTGGAGAGTTTGGTGACACTCTTGGTTGAGTGTGTGTGTGTGTGTGTGTGTGTGTCCTGCAGGCAGATAACTGGGTAGGTGACTGATGTACCTGACTTAGGTTCTGACCAAACACTCCCTGGATTGACCCTGAAGTTGTTCCAGGTCTCTGCTGTGCTCAGCCATGATAAACACTAGTCAAATACCCTGTAGTTGCATGTGTACATATTTCTGCCCAGATAGTGTGGAGCATAAGAGAGCTTTGAACAGGGAGTGGCACTTAATTGAAAACTTACTTTATGCCAGACTATGGCAACATAGCTGGGCAAATCAAGAGGAGGCAGAGCTGGGTGCCAGTGGCTCACACCTCTAATCCTAATTACTCAGGAGGCTGAGATCTGAGGATCGCAGTTTGAAGCCAGCCCAGGCAGAAAAGTCCCTGGGACACTTTCTCTCTCTCTCTCTCTCTTTTTGTCAGAGGTGGGGCTTGAACTCTGGCCTGGGTGCTGTCCTTTAGCATTGCAGCTCAAGTCAAGCACTGTACCACTTGAGCAATATCACCACTTCCCGTTTTCTGGTGGTCAATTGGAGATAAGAGTCTCACAGACTTTTTCTGCCTGAGTTGGCTTTGAACCATGATCCTCAGATCTCCGCCTGCTGAGTAGCTAGGATGACAGGTGTGAGCCACCAACACACAGCCTGTGAGAGTCTTATCTCCAATAAGCCACTCAAAAACTAAAACTGGAATTGTGGTTCAAGTGGTACAGTGCTAGCTTTGAGCAGAAAGAGGCTCAGGGATAGTGCCCAGGCCCTGAGTTCAAGCCCTACAACCAACAAGAAAAAAAAAAAAAAGAGAAGGCAGAGATAAGAGCCAAGCAGGTAACTGGAAGGAGAAAGTGTTTTTGGAAGAGAAAAGGGCAGTGCAAATGTCCTGAGGCAGAAATGTGTTGTCACTTCAAGGAGCAGGAGGAAAGCAATGTGCTGGGATCAAGGTAGGGGTGAGTGGGTGGTTATGGGAAATTAATGGACTGAAATGGAAAGAAAATATTGGCAGAAGGATACCAATCAATGCCATTCATCATCGGGGAAATGCAAAAGAAAACCACAGTGGTATGGCATAGTCCACCCACCAACCTGGTGGCTATTGAGAAGTGGAGACCCTTGGACATTGCAGGTGGAAATGTTAGCTGGTGCACCCACTGTGGAAGACATTTGGTAGTTTCTTGAAAAGTGAAACAAAGTCAGGCACCCATGGCTTATGCCTGTAATCCTAGGTACTCAAGGGGCTGAGATGTGAGGATGGAGGATAAAAGCCAGCTTGGGAAGAAAAGTCTATTAAGACTCATCTCCAAATAATCACAAAAAAAGCCCAAAGTAGCGGTGTGACTCAAGTGGTAGAGCACCAGCCTTAAGCAAAGAAGCTAAGAGACAGCACTCAGGCCCTGAGTTCAAGCCCTAGTACTGGCGCACGTGTGTGCGCGCACATGCACACGCGTACACACACATACACACACACAGAGTGAAGCACAGGGCTGAGGATACAGCTCAGTGGTTCAGCTGTTATCTAATACGTGCAAGATCATGAGTTCTATCACTGACATTTAAAATGGTAAACAGAATTCTCATACAGTTTAGCCTTTCTGCTCTTAGGCATATATCCAAAATAATTGAAAACAAGGACTTGAACAAGTACATATACCCACATGTCCATAGTGGCTCTAATAGAAATATCTCAAAAGTAGAAATAAGCTGCACATATCAGTGGATGAAACAATTCAAAGAAAAAAGTGAGCTGAGCACTAGTGGCTCATGCTTGTGAGCCTAGCTACTCAGAAGACTGAGATCTGAGGATCATGGTTCAAAGCCCACTCAAGCAGAAAATTAACCACTAAGAAGCCAAAGGTGGAGCTGTGGCTCAAGTGGTAGAGCAAAAAAAGCTCAGGGTCAGCACCTATGTCTGAGTTCAAGCCCTAAGACTGGCACAAAAAGAAAGAAAGGAAGAGAAAGAAGGAAAAAGCAAGGAAGGAAGGAAGGAAGGAAGAAAACACAAATAAAACAAGAAAGAAAGAAAGGAAAGAAAAAGGAAAGAAAAAAAGTGATATAGCCAGCCAATGGAATATTATTCAGCCACCAAAATGGAACCAAATTCTGGTGCAAAGTAGATGAGCCTTGAGATCATTATATTTGCTAAAGGAACCATATACAAATTGTCAGTGTGATGGACAACTTTCTAATACCAGAACAAAATGCTTGGGACAATCAGCTTATACAAAGGAAAAATATCAACAATGAAAGAGTTACTTTGGCTTGTGAGTTCAGAGGTTTTGATCCGTGGTCACTAGGCCCCGTTGCTTTGGGCCTGTGGTGGCACAACAGATTAGGAACAGAGCATGTGGCAGAGTGAGACTTGTTTACCTTTTGGAAGCCAGGAAACAGAGAAAGAGAGAGAGACAGGAAGGGGTGGGATCTCAATACCCCACTTCAGGGCACACCCTGATGACATCACATCCATTTATGAGGCTTCTCTTAAAGGTTCCACTGGGTCCTAACAGCACCTTAGCCTGGTAGCCTTTGGGGACATTTCTCTAACCATAAGCGGGCATATAGTGTTTGCCTCTATTTACACAAAACTTCAGGAATAAGTAAGTATATAGTAGAGTCAAGTAGCTAGAAGGATTAGTAGTTGCCAGGAATTGATGGGGGGGGGTGGTAATGGGGAGAGTATCCCCATACTCTCTAATGGGAGTGTAGAGAAACTCTTCCACTTTGAATTCTTGGCTAGGATGGATCCTTGTAACAGAAGAATTAATAAAGCTGGGCTACTGCTGGCTACTCAGAACTGATAAAGTCTGTGAGACTCTTATCGCTAGTAAACTACTCAGAAAAACCCGGAAGTGGCACTGTGGCTCAAGTGGTAGAGCGCTAGCCTTGAGCAGAGAGAGGTCCAGGGACAGCTACCAGGCCCTGAGTTCAAGACCCAGGACTGGCCAAAAGAAAAAAGAACAAAACAAGCACTCATTAACAAGTATAGCTCAGTGTATGTGGGCAATGCCCATGTTACAATTTCTGGTTATCTAATATCTTCCACCAGGAATGGTGCAGGGGCAGGGACTGGACAAAGAGAAGGATTTTAAGTCTCTGATGGTGAGCAATTATGTGTAGGAAGATAAAGGATAGATACAAGGTGTCTCTGGCAATCAACCTTTGTCCTTCCTGATAGAAGACACTTCTGTAAACTTACATCTCCCTTTTGGGCAAATAGGAAATGCCTTTAGCTCAAAATAGGCCTTATACCAAGGTATGGGATTGGGAGTGGGGAAAGTACTGGGGTTTTTAATTCAGGACCTCTCACTTGCTAAGCAGAAATGTGATCACTTGACCCCACTCTGCCAGTCCCTTTTTGTTGTGCTAGTTATTTTCTAATCAGCTGCCCTTTTTATGCCCAGGCTGGCCTAGAACATAGAATCATTCCATTTGTGCCTCCCTTTGTTGTTAGGTTACTAGGCATGCTCTATTGTAATCAGCAATTTGTTAAGATGGGGTTCTACAAGTATCTTTTTATTTTGCTCTGAGTCGACCTTGAACTGCAATCCTCCTATATCTGCCTCCCAAATAGGTAGGATTACAAGTTTGAATGGCTAAGGTGGACTATTTTGTGGTCTCTTTTGGGGGCTGACACAAATACTTTGAAACTAGCAAGGGGGCCATGGGTGTAGGATATGTGACTTACTGAATGCCACTGGCTCATGCATCTTTAAATGGTGAAGTTAATGTGATATACATTTTACTTTGCTAAGAGCAAAAGGAGGAAACGGAAATTTACTTTCAGAAAATTCTTGACCTGTTTTGATGAGATAAAGCATAGCTACTGCACAAAAATCCAAAGCTCCAAAACACGACACAGGTGAGCAGTTAATCTTGGGCCCAGTCACCCCTCCCTGGAAGGGCACCCCAGTCTCTTTAGCAGATTCTCCTCTGTTCTATTCCAATGATCTCGGCATTTCCTTAATTCACATCTAATCACGCTTCACGATATTACAAAGATCACAGAAGCTCACACACCGGCTTAAGCAGAGACTACAGGGAGGGAGCAGCCAGAGGATGTTTTATTTTTAAGAAACGAATATTTTGAGCCACTGGTTGGTACTTTTGCTTGAAATATTTTTTTGAATTTTTTTTAAATTCTTTGCGTGTGGGTAGCTAGTTCATTTTGCAATATTTTTGAGTAAATACTTGATCAATTTGTCGGGGCACCCTGATTGCAGCAAGACTGGGAGATCATTCTGGGGGGGAACCTACGTAACCATCTCACTGTTGCAAGCTCGGTTGGTTTGTTTTGCTTGCAGATTAAAGAAAAAAAAAAAAGCTCAGGATCTGGAACAAAGGGCAGTCGCCGCGCCTGCGCAGAACGCACCTGCGCGCCTTTTCCCTGGGAACAGGCTGGATCACGTGTGGCCCCGCCCCCTGGCGCGACACGCCCACGGCGTGGTGACGTCACGGCGGAGTTGCCATGGCGGCGCTGAGCGGTCTGGCGTCTGCGCTGGAGTCGTACAGGGGTCGGGATCGCCTGGTGAGGCTGGAGTGGATTCCGAGCTCAGCGAGGGGGAAACTGAGGCCAGTGAGAGGGGCGCTGTCGCTCAGGATCGCCGGTCCTAGTGACGACCGGACGCTGTTCCCTAGCGTGGGAACCCGATGGCACCAGCCCGATCTGCTTGTTACCAACCACAGTTCCGGGTTTGGACATTTGGAATCGGCCTGGGCCAATGTAGTTGCTCCAAAAGTTAGGATTTTGGAGGCTACTCCTGTGTCTTATCCCCTCTGGCTGTCCAATTACTGAACGTAGACTCCTTTTTTTTTTTTTTAAAGTTTCTTTTTGTAGTCCTAGAACTTGAACTCCAAGCCTGGGCTCTGCCCCTGAGCCTTTTCACTCAAGGCTGGCGCTGTACCACTTGAGCCACAGCTCGATTTCTGTCTTTCTGCTGCCTAATTGGACATTACAAATGTCTCGCAGGCTTTCCTGTCTGGGCTGGCTTTGAACCTTGATCTTCAGATCTCTGCCTCCTTCAAGTAGCTGAGATTACAGGCATGAGCCACAGGTGCTTGGCTAGATTCAGTTTAGTCCCATACAGGTAGCCGTTTGGGTTGTACCAGTGGGTGAATTGGCGTCTAGGCATTTAGATTCCAGCCTAAGTGATTGCATTTCAGGTTTTAATCCCCCCCCCCACTCTCTCCCAGTTATAGCTTCTGGCCATTATAACAAGGCTGGAAGGAATTCCTAGTAAAATACATCATAGGAACCAGTTATTATTTTATTTTTTTGAGTGAAAAACTGAGTCTATAGACCAGGTTGGTCTTGAACTTGTGATTGTTAAGAAAATGGAGGAGAACGGAAAAGGAATAGGCCAGACTCAATCACCAACAGTCGAGGACTGTTTATTGAGGAACAGCTAGGGGCACAGACCTTCCTGCCGGCTTGGAGGTTGTGCCTTGGAGTTGGGACAGGAGCTGTCACTATGGGATGTTTACAGCTGGGTTTAGGTGGATGGCCCTGCCTGCACTTCAAACAAGTTCACACATACCTGGGATTTTTTGCCTGGCGTCCTTATGGGCTTGGGACAATAGGGTGGGGGGCAATCCTTCAGAGATCCTCCTGTTTCTACTTCCTGAGTGCTGGGATTACAGGTGTGCACCACTGTGCTGGGCTTGGAATTAGCAAATTCAGGAAAGTAAAGGATAGAAAGGCAATGAGCCTCATCTATTTCACGAGGTTCCAGATCACTTCTAGAGTGGGCTTTCTTCTCCCTTAAAGTAATTCAAACAAGTTCTTCTTCTTTTTTTTTTTTTTTTGGTGGTGGGGTGTGTACTCTGGGCCTGGGTGCTGTCTCTGAGCTCTTCAGTTCAAAGCAAGGGTGCTCTACCACTTCAGCCACAGTGCCACTTCTGGTGGTTTATTGGAGGTAAGAGTCTCACTGACTTTTCCCACCAGGCTGTCTTTGAATCGTGATCCTCAGATCTCAGCCTCCTGAGTAGCTAGGATTACAGGCATGAGCCACCAGTGCCCAGCTCAGCAAGTTCTTATTCTTGTGTCTTGTGTGGGGGCTGGATGACACTATGCCAGCTAAAGGACTTTGGTCAAACCAGGTAGATACAAATATACATTTCAGCCTTGTCCTCCTGTCTGCTTGTCTCATGAACAAAAACCTCTTTTGTGTGAGGTTTGTTGGTATAGAATTGTCTTTGGGTTCAATCCTGCATGGCCAATGACCAGGCCAGGGGTTCTGTAGCTCCGCCCAGGGGCAGGACATAGGGCTGACTGCTTCTGTTTTCTCCTAGATCCGAACACTGGGGTACTGCTGTCAGCTGCTTGGTGGGGTCCTGGTTGAACAATGTCCCTCCAGGTCAGAATTGGGGACACGGCTGCTGGCGATGTCTGCCCAGCTCAGTCACTGCAGGACTGTCCTGAGACTCTTCGATGACTTGGCTATGTTTGTCTACACTAAGCAATATGGCCTGGGGACAGAGGTAAAAAGGCGATTGTGTGGCTGTGGGGAGAGTTGAGGATTCTTCAGTTTTGGTCCCAAAAGCTTTTTATGGATTTGTCCCACACATGTTCCTGATGAACACTTTATGAAAATAATTCTTTTCATTATCTGGTACTACTGGGGATTGACCTCACATCCTTGAATTTGCTAAGCTGGTGTTCTATCATCTGATCCAGACCTTTTCCTACCAACTGAGAATTGTGATCCTCTTTTTTGGGATGAAGCTATTCTAGGTGAGATGGGATTTCACAAATTTTGAAAAAAAATTGTCGGTCCCAGGGCTTGAATTCAGGGCCTACATGCTACCCCTATGTGCTCAAGGCTAGCACTTTACCACTTTGAATCACAGCTCCACATCCGGTTTTCTGCTGGTTCATTGGCGTTAAGAGTCTCATGGACTTTCCAACCGGGGTTAGCTGTGAACTGTGATCCTTAGATCAGTCTAGGTTTACAGGCATGACCCACCAGCACCTGGCCTCCCAGACCATTTCTTATTGCTCCTGCAGCCTTTTTGTGTACATGTGTATGCCTGTCCTGGGACTTGAACTCAGGACCTCTGGGCACTGTTTATTAGTTTTTCCCTCAAGGCTCCTGTTCTGCTAATTGAGCCACTGCTCCACCTAGCTTTTTGCTGGTTATTTGGAGGTAACAGGCTTTTCTTGTCTGTGCTGGCTTTGAACCTTGATCCTCAGATCTCAGCTTCTTGAATAGCTAGGATGACAGGCATAAACCATATATGACTGGTTTGGGGTTCAGGTTATTATTAGTAATATTAGTATTAGTATTTTTGTCAGTCATGGGGCTTGAACTCTGGGCCTGGGCACTGTCCCTCAGCTCTTCAGCTGAAGGTGAGCACTCTACCACTTGAACCACAGGGCCACTTCCGGTTTTCTGGTGGTTTACTGGAGATTAAGAGTTTCACGGACTTTTCTACCCAGGCTGGCTTTGAACCTCGATCCTCAGACTCAGCCTTCTGAATAGCTAGGATGACAAGCATGAGCCACTGATGCCTGGCTTTATTTTTTAAATTTATTATTATTCTTTCTTGCCAGTCTTGGGGCTTGAACTCAGGGCCTGGGCCCTGTCCCTGTGCTTCATTTGCTCAAGGCTAGCACTTTAACACTTGAGCCATAGCACCACTCCCTGCTTTTTCTGTTTATGTGGTACTGAGGACTGGAACCCAGGGCTTCATGCATGCTAGGCAAGCACTCTACCACTAAGCCACATTCTCAGCTTGGGGTACAGGTTTTTAAGTCCTCTCCCAAGAGTATAAGAAACACAAGTCTGGGCTTTGTGGCACACTCTAGCTCACAGTCTTTGTTTTTTGTAGAGGCCCGAAATGAGAGGTGGCTGGATCCAGTGCCACAGGCTGTTGGAGAGAAATCTCACCACCACCTACCTGCTGTGGCCACAGGCTTAGACTGGGCAGTGGGTGGCTCTCATCTGTCATCCTAGCTACTCAGGAGGTTGAGATCCGAGGCTCACTGTTCAAAACCAGCCTGGGAAGTGAAGCTGTGGCTCAAAGTGGTAGAGTGCTAGAGTGAAAGAACTCAGTGACAATGCCCAGGCCATGAGTTCAAACCCCACGTCTAACCTCCCCCCCAAAAAAGGCAGTGGGTATTTTAACCTCAGGCTCCTCCCCTCCCCGACCCTGCAGGAGGAGGATGTTTTTGTTCGTTCCCTGTCTGTCTTGAGTAATGTAGCTGACCAGCTGTACTACCCGTGTGAACACGTGGCCTGGGCAGCCGATGCCAAGGTCCTCCCTGTGGACTCTGCCCGGTGGTGGATGCTAAGCACAGCCCTCTGGGGCCTATCCCTGCTCCTGGGGGTTACCAGGTGAGTGACATCAGCCAGGGTCGGCCGGTCCCCAGGTGCTGTCTCCTCAGCAAGGCTGCAGGGGCACCAGCCCTCGTAGCTTGCTTTGTACATGGAGGGAATGGATTTTTCACTTTTTTGGGGGTCATTTTCCTTTACTATATTATGTTCTCTTCTGAGAATTGATGTAACAAATCAGCATGAACCAATCCCAAATTTGTTTTCCTCACATTCTTGCAGGTCAGAAGCCTGAAATCAGTCTCTTCAGGTTACTGTCTGGCTGTGGGGGCCACGGAAGACCTGAATCCCACTTCTTCCCCTCCCTTTCCCTTCCCTCTTTTCATTTTTTGTGCCAGTACTGGGGCTTGAACTCAGGGCTTAGGTGCTGCCCTTTAGGTTTTCCCTTTCAGGCTGGTGCTCTACTACTTGCACCATGCTCCACTTCCATTTTTTTTTTTTGCTGGTTCATTGGAGGTGAGAGGCTTAATAGCTTTTCCTGCCCAGGCTGGCTTTGAATCGCGATCTTTGCATCTCAGCCTCCCGAGCTGCTAAGATTACAGGCATAAGCCACCAGCACTCTGCTGTGGTTCCTTCTTGAATCTTCCAGGCCCTGTCTTGTCACTGGCACCTGCCTCATCTCTCCATGTCCAGCATCTGTCTTCCTCCAGTGCTCAGAGCCTCCAGGGTGGGCGCCTGGGCGGGTCTCTGAATGCACCTGGGGCTGTGGCTCCCGCCCTCGTGTCCATCAGCAGGCAGGTCCCAGATGTGGCCTGGGTAGGCTCCATCGGGAGGGCCCAGGACTGTCCACTGGGGGCAGGGGAAGGTCCTTTTGTCATAGTCGCAGGCTTTGTGAGAACCGATGGTAGTGGTCTCACGTGGCCCCTGGGAGCTGAGCCCTCTGCTGCTCTGGTGGCATGTCATGGCCCTTGTGTGTTGCAGGTCGCTGTGGACGGTGCTGAGACTGAGGCAGAAGCTGTGGAGCCCCATGGCCAGCCTCTCCAGGTATGGTGTCCAGGCTTCAGCAGGGAGGCCCCCAGGGCTGCCCATGAGCTGAGCTCCTGATAGCTCTGCACAGCTGGATGGGCACAAGGTCGCAGGGCCTCATCACGACCCTGTGTGTGTGTGTGTGTGTGTGTGTGTATGTGTGTGTGTGCGTGCGCCACTGGGACTTGAACTCAGGGCATAGGTACTGTCCCTGGTATTTTTTCTCTTGAGGCCAGTGCTCTACTACTTGAGCAGCAGCTCCACTTTCACCTTTTTGCTGGTTAATTGGAGATAACACTATCTCCTGCCTGGGCTGGCTTTGAACCATGATCCTTGCATTTCAGCCTCGTTGCTTTTTCTTTTTTTTTTTTTTTTTTGGGTCCGGTTGTGGGGCCTGAACTCTGGGCCTGGGCGCTGTCCCTCAGCTCTTCAGCTCAAGGCTAGTGCTCTACCACTTGAGCCATAGTGCCTCTTCCAGCTTTTTTCTTTTTGCTTATGTGGTGCTGAGGAATCAAACCCAGGGCCTCATGCATGCAAGGCAAGCGCTCTACCACTGAGCCACCTTCCCAGCCCCCCCCCCTTTTTTTTTTATCATGGCCTGGGCACCGTCCCTGAGCTCTTTTTGCTCAAGGCTAGTACTCTACCACTTTGACCCATAGCGCCACATCTGGTTTTCTGGTGGTTCACTGGAGATGAGCCTCACACTTTCCTGCCTGGGCTGGCTTTGAACTGTGATCCTCAGATCTCACCTCCTTGAGTTGTTAGGATGACAGATGTGAGCCACCGGTGCCTGGCTTGGGGTTCCTTCTTGCACACAACCTTAATGACCCATGTGAGCATATTCTATTTTGGGGTGCCCTCTGATCTCACTGGGGGCCAATAGTCAAGCCAGGGAAGGCTAAGGGGATGGCCGGGGAAGAGGCTAGACTAGGACAGCCTGACATAGGCCCAGACTGACATCTCTGTGGCCTGGCCTGGCCTGGCGCCAGGGGCTGTGGGCTCCAGCATGAGGCGGTACCAGGGCAAGGCGGCATTGGTGGTCTCAGCTGGCCATATCTGCCCTTCCCTACGGGTGTAGGTACCACCTGTCCCCTTCCTGCATCCCAGTATTCCCCACCTGTGGCCCAAGTTTGGGCACCAGACAATCTCTAGCCCCGAAGAATGCTTCTGTCAGAAGTCCGCTCAAGACACTTTTATTGCTAGAATTTGGTCCCGAAACATCACACGCAGTTAGGTGTCACAAAAAACTGTCAGAAATGATCGTGTCTGCAATGGGTGGGGACCGCGTGCACAGGTCTCACCCACACCTGCGTGCTACTTGGCCACCACCTTTGCAAACATATAGGCTCTCCCCTATGAATGACTGAAGGGTGCTAGGAGAGATGCCCCCATGAGTGGGACCTGGTCCCCACCACATGGCTTCTCTGGCTAGGACTGGAACATGCCAGCTTGGGGGACAGGTGTGTGGCCACGGGGGGGGGGGTGGGAAGGGGATTGCCACTGGTGCTAGGCAGGGTTCTAAAACAGCAGGGATTTAGTCTGCTCTTCTAAAGTGCTTGGATAAATCTCAGTACAAAAGTACAAAACACTGGAACATGGCACAGGTGTGCTGGGGGAGGGGCGCTCTGGACACAGGAGAGACAGTTATGAACGGAAGAGGACCAGCGTGCGCAAAGTTGAGGTTCTAAGACGCTTGGGGGGGACAAAGTTGGGGGATACCACGCCACCTGTTGTGCTCTCAAGTCCTGTCACCACCACTGGCTGGACCCCAGCTACTGTCTGCACCTGCCTGGTCCCCAGGGCACTGGTAACCTTGCCTTACAGGGGTTGCTGCCTAGGAGGGCACTTCCTCATGGCTTCCAGTCCTCTGTGCCTGCCCAGTATTGGGGATGGCCCGGTGGGGCACTGGCAAGACAAGTCTTCACTGGGGCCCAGGAAGCTCATTTGGCCCTGGTTGGGGTCCAAGAACCCATGAGAACTAGAGTGAGCAGCTTGGGACCTGGTCTTATTGCCAAGTCCTACTGTAGGCAGCCAGGCTTGGCTCTGAGCAGCCGGGCTGGGCCTGGGCATTGGAGATCGGCCCATTTTCCTCTGTGTGGTTCACCCACAGCTTGAGTGGCTCAATGCAAAGTTGGAGGCACCAACACAAGCCACCTATGCCTTTCCTATCCCTATGCCTTTCCTCCACATGCCTGTGTGGCAGGGACACTAGTCCCTGGGGAGCCTGGGGGGAAACCTATCCATTTCATGGGGACTGAGGACCCTTCCACTTAGGGGGTGTCTGCTCTGGCTGGAACCTGAGGGCTCAGCCTCCCAGACAGGCTGAGGGGTGGAGTGGGGGGGTGTTCTTGAGACGCAGTGTTTGGAAATAATCTATGTCAGGTTACAAGGGGCAACGGGTGGTAGCTCCCTTTAAGCTGAGCTCCATGGTCCGCCATAGCCCACAGCCTCCCTCACTTGTTGGCTGAGGATCTGTCACTGCTGGAGGAGGGGGGGTCTCTGCCTGGCTTTGAACATCCACCCCTACGGTTGCCCTGATGATGCCCAAGCTTCATGGTGACCTCCTGACATGGAGGTCTCTTCCGGCTCCTGGGGGAACCCACACTTCTTGCTGCCCAGAAAACCACTTCTCCCTACATAACAGGGTGCTCTGGTTCAAAGTAGCTCCTTGGCTGAGCGTGGGTTCAGGCTCCCACACAGATCTGGGGGCATCCCTGGGGGAGTCCCCCATCCCTTACAAAGAACCCATAGACTGCAGTACCTGGCCAGGCGGGCATCAGAGAGGGGGGTGCTTAGGCAGGAAAGGGGTCAGCTGATCAGGCATAGTCACCCCACGTTGGGGGGGGTTACCAGAGATACAGAGGCTGTGCAGGACAGAGCAGGGCCTGCACTTGGGGTCTCCACCCCTCAGAAGAAGATGACATCTTCCTTGCTGGCTTCCTCTTTGCTGGCCAGGGGTGTGGCCGGCAGTGGTGAGGGGGGTGGGGGCACGGGGGCACCCCCAGGCAGGGCCGGGAAGCAGAGATCTGAAAGAGAGGGGAGTGGGGGTGTGAGGCACGGTCAGATGGGGCGATGGCAGCTCTGCTGTGTGGCCGGGCGGAGCTCACCTGGGGTGGGCACAGAACTGTGGCTGCCAGGCAGGACGGGGCTGAGCGAGCGCCGGTTCCTCGACGTGTTCTCGTCCTTCCCCAGGAGCTTGTTGAGGAGCAGCTGCTGCTTCAGGTCGAATGATGCTGCAAGAGGGTGGGGGAGGTGCTCAGGCCTGGCCCCAGGCCACCCCCAGCCTGACCCACTCTCCACAGGCAACCAGAGGGGACCACAAGAGTCGCTGGATGTTGGAATAAGAGGGCACAACTCCCCAGCATATGTCCTTTGCTTGTGATCCACAGCACCCATGCTCTCTTGGCAAGAGAACATTCTAGAACGCCCTGAGCTTGCTCTGATTGTGTGGAGTGGTGGAGGCAGCAAGGGACCATAGTGCCTCTGGGCCTCACTGTCCCTCTCTCTGGACAGGTGTCCATGCTGCGGGGTCCTGTGTGAACACTTCTCATCCACACCCCAGTAAGACCCCTCTCCCCCAGCCCCTCCACTTTAGATCGGAGACAGGGCCAGGACTTAAGTTCTGTCATTTCCAGTTGGCTCTTTGGACAAAGGCTGCCACTCTGGTTCCTTCTGGCTGTCCTGTCTGGTTCCTGGCTGTCCTGTTGGGCTGGGGGCAGCTTACCTGAGCTCTCCCAGCGCTGGGAGCCTCTGTTCTTGCTGCCCTTGTCCTTGCTGCCCTTGGTGGACGCGGCCAGCTTGGTAGGGATCTGCTGCTGCACAGCTGCCTGCCTCTGGGTCTGGTTGGTGGTGCTCAGCAGCTGGATGGGCACATCGCTCTTGGCTGGGGCACTGTCCCGGCGAGCCACCTCCGGGCGCTCCACACAATCAGGCCCGGCCCCCGACAGGAGCATGCTCATCCGGGTCCCTTTGGTGGGGGCTGATGGCCCCTCCAGCCCTTCCCCATTGAAGCTGGGGTTGTGGCTTGGGGGCTGGGCCTGAGAGGGCGACAGAAAGCATGTCCCAATGGGGTTGGGGCTGGTATGTCCCCAAGCTGTTAAATAGTTCTAACGTGGGCATGCATGCTCCCTGCTCCCGCATCTGCTTTTATTATTGGCAGTACTGGGGACTGAACTCAGGGCTTTGTGTTTGCCAGGCAGGTACACAACCACTTGAGCCAAACCTCCAGTCCCCTTGGTTTTATTTTCAGACAGGGTCTTGCACTTTTACCTCAGGTGTCTCAGACACTAACTGCTCCACTCCTGAACAGCTGGGATTATAGCTGTGTATTACCACAACCAGCTTGTTTGTTGAGGTAGGATCTTGCTAACTTGTTTTTACCTAGGCTGATCTGGAACTCCTGGGTTCAGCTGGTTTTCCTGTCTCCTGTTGTAGGCAAGTTCTCTACACCTGAATATTCATCCATTCCTCTTTGTGCCAATACTAGGGCATGAATTCAGGCAGAGCCTGGGTGCTGCCCCTTAGCTTTTTCACTCAAGGTTGGTGCTCTACCACTTGTACCATGCCTCCAGTCTTGCCTTTTGGTGGGTAATTGGAGATATGATTCTGCCTTGACTAGCTTCAGTGGCTAGGATTACAGGCATGTAAGCCTAGTCCGGGACCTTAATATGGACACCTGGGAGCATGCGCTTGCCCTCGGCCAGGCCTGGCTGGCCCCAGCTCACCTCGGCCAGCGCCTCTGGCGGCAGTGCCCCGGGCGCCGTGTTCTGCTTCTTGAGTTTGCGCAGTAGGTCCTGGCGCTCCAGTCGCTCGCGCTCGCGCTCGTTGGCGCGCATGGCCTCGCGCAGCCGCTCTAGGTCCTGCTGGTAGGCCTGGCGGTGCTGCTCCAGATCTGAGCGCTCCTGGTCCAAGCGCAGGCGCAGCTGCCGTGCCTCGTCCTCGCGCTCCTGCAGGCGCGCGCCCGCTAGTTCCAGCTCTTGCTGCTGGCGCATGCGCTCACGCTCCCAGCGCTGCTGCTCCTGCCGCAGCTGGCTCTGCAGCCGCTCCACGCCCGCGCGCTCCTCCCGCTGCTTCTCGAAGTTGCGCTGCCGCTCCTGCTCCAGCAGCAGGTTCCCGCGCGTGGACTGCAGCCGGAACTGCTTCTCCCGCTCCTGGATGGCTGCCCGCTGCATCTCTACGTAGCTGTCCTGCTGTGCGATGACAGCCTGTGGGGCGGGGCCAAGGGCGGGGCGGTGAGACACGCCCCCAGTCCCAGCCAATTGGGAATGGGCACACGTGGCTAGTCCCTCCCACACGTCCCCACCTCCACCTATACCTGCAGGCCTAGGAGCAGCTGCGACAGCGTCTGGACTCGCTGGACAAGCTAAGGGGAAAGACAGACTCGGGTTGCCATCAAGGGAGTGCATGCCGGTCCCTGGGGAGGCGGGAGGAACCCCACCTACCTCGGACTCCAGGATAGTGGGCAGACGGGGGCCAGTCTCTGCCTTGACCACCTCACCCTGCAAAGTGGACAAACCCACATCAGTGTCCAAGGAGGCCATTTACATCAAGACATGCCTTGAAGTTAGGGGATCGAGAGAAGCCCAGGGGAACAGGCCCTGTAGTCAGCCCACTTTGGGAAGTGTGGAGAATGAAGGGATGGAGTGGTAAGGTCTCCAACTGGGGGTGCTTGGGTATAAAGTTTGTTGATTGGCTTCCTCCTTTCTGGGTCAAAGACATGGACCCCAGTTGGTTACACCTGCGCTGACTGAAGTCCTGGGGCCCCAGGGTGGGGCTCCTGACCTGGGATGAGCCACCGCCCTGGCTCTGGGCTCTTCCCCACTGCCTCCCTCCCAGGTGTCTCCTGTCATTTCTGGGGATGAAATCAGCTGCTTGCCAGGAGCCTGGGCAGAGAGGGACACCACTAAACCAGAATAGCACACTCACGGTCATGCTCCAAGGACAGGGAAGCAGATGTCTCTCCCCCCGCCTCCCCAGCCCCCCCAGTTTTCCCAAGAAACCACGCACCGCTTGCCGTGACTCTTTGCTGCCTCCTGGCGCATCACCATCTCTGAGTTTCATGTCCGGGCTGCTGGCAGGCCCCCTCCAATCTCGGGGCCTTGGGTCATTGCTATAGACCTTCTTCTTAAAACTGCCATCTGGGAACCCCAAGTGGGGCACATGAGGACACTGGGGATCTGGAAGCTTCTTCCTTTACTCCCCCCCTCCCCCCACCCCTGCCCAGGTGGGAAAGGCAGGCCCAGGTGCTCTCTGTGGCATCTTGGCAGAGCAACCGGCTAGGGCTGAGTGCTGGTGTCATCCCACCTGGATTTTGGGGAGCTGGAAGAGGGGGGTGACATACTTACTCCTGCTGGGGCTGCCAGTGCTGTCATAACCCCCAAAGGTCTCTGCCCTCCGGGGGAGGCCCGAGGGGCCGCCTCCCTCCTCCACCTGGCCATTGGCACTGCCCAGCCGCCTGCAGATTAAGCTCTGGATGCCCTCAACTGTGGAGGAGATGGGAGAATGGGCACCCTGTGGAGGCAGGCTGGGACAGCCATCCCCACTTCCCTCCCCCATCCCTGTACCACAACCAGAACCTACCAATCTGAGTCTAAGTTAGAGGTCAGGGCCACAGGGCAGCCATGGGGAGGGACCCCTCCCCCCTCCAGCCCTCCCAGGGGCTTGCTGTGTCCAGGCCTTTGGCCAAGGGCTTAGTGAGACTGCCCAGGCTTCATCCAGTCTGGTAGCAAACAGAAGGGTGAGCACTGCTTGTGGAATGCCAGCAGTGCCTCAGGGTGACCCTTTGGGGACCCACATGGCCCTCTAAGGGCAAAAGTGTTTGGCCAATGAAGAGGTGGGAGAACATTCCAGGCCTAGGGGCAAAATACACAAATGTCCTGGGGACCAAAAACAATGGCCCTAGGAGAAATGGGTGGAAGGACAACACAGATGTGGCCAGAACTGGTGGCTCATGCCTGTAATACCAGAAACTTGGGAGACTGTTAAGGGGAGGATCATGCTTCAAGGCCAGCCTGAGCAGAAAAGTTGGCAAGACCCATTTTCAATCTTTATCTGGGCACAGTAGACACATGCCTGTTACCCTAGCAATCGTGGGAACCTTAAAATAGGTGGATCACAGTTCAAGTACATGCTGAAGCAGGAAGTGAGGTACTATCTTAAAAAACCAAAAAAAAAATAGGGCTGGAGGCATGGCTCAGTGGTAGAGGCCCTGATCATGAAAAAGGGAAGAAAGAAAAGAACCTACACTGGGGCCATGAGGGCTCAAGGAAAGTACTGCTGATTCCAGAAAAAGTGCTTTAGGGAGCTGGCTCACGCTTGTAATCCTACTCAGGAGGCTGAGATCTTAGGATCGTGGTTCAAAGCTAGCCCAGGCAGGAAAGTCTGTGAGACTCTTATCTCTAAGAATAAACTACCAGGGCTGGGAAGGTGGCTCAGTGATAGAGTGCTGGCCTTGCATGCATGAGGCCCTGGGTTCGATTCCTCAGCACCACATAAGCAAAAAAGAAAAAAGCCGGAAGTGGCGCTGTGGCTCAAGTGGTAGAGAGCTAGCGTTGAGCTGAAGAGCTGAGGAACAATGCCCAGGCCCAGAGTTCAGGCCCTATGACCAGACCCAAAAAATAAAAAAAATGCACTGAATATACACTAAAACTCAGCA